TAGAAGACGGAGCAATACTATAAGAAGTATTATTGTGATTAATTGTTATGACATTTATTCTTAGACTTTGTGTACAATAACCTTATGGTTGGCTCTATATTGGTGCAAGAATAAAGGATTCTTGAGTCACCAATCTGTGTTCTGGTTTTTCGCTTTGGTTATTGCACATAGTTGCTGAAAGTCTTCTAAAGACAGTGTGAAGTCCAGTGTAGTTAGACCTGGACATTGACAGCGACCTTTTATGCCATTTAGTCACTGGTACAGAATCCAATAGCCCATGAATTCTAACCTATATGAATTCACGATATACAGAGTAACCGCCAGGCAATGGTGTCGTCCTGATAGCGTCATGAATGCGTCCTGTCCAATACTCTCTGGTTTACAGAAATTCTATAACTGAATTCAGCTCATGGTCAGAATTAAAGACAATCAAATACCAGCAAACCAATACTTGAAAATTCTATTACTTTGGAATATTTTCATTTATTAGGCTACTGAAAATTAATTACTATGCTATGCGGGTATATAAATTTTAAATTCACTCTTTAGGTTAATTCTAAAGCTTTAAAAATCTATCTCTTTTTTAGAGCAGTTTTAAGAAGTCTATAAATAAACAACTTGTACAATGATAGTGCCACTGAAATTTCCATTTTTATTTTCAATAATTCACGCACCTGTTTTAAATTTTAAATTAGTCTGGTTTAAAGTAATACAAACTAATTGTTGTTGTATAACGCCTATTACATTTGAAGAAAATAGTGAGCATATTACTAGCATAAATTGGTGACCACCAGTATTTTGAGGTAAAAATAACGAAAAAGTAATTTCTCATGAAACTGCAGAATAAACATATATATATATGATATGAGTGTTTGTCGGTGGATTAGAGGCACAATGGTCGCCAGCCACGTAGGTGGTCCTGGGTTCAATTCCCGGCAGACGCTAATCTGGTGATAAAGTCAGTAAAGTGGAAAGGTTGGGCATGTGGCCAGCAACCTCATCCCGTAGGAATAAAATCCATCGCTACTGAAATTTAGAGCTCTCGCTTGATTCCTTCTATTCCATTAGGAATGTAAAGAAATAAAATTTTAAAAAATATATGATATGACATTAGTCCTCTTGTACTACTGCTAAGTAGCAACAGAAAATGACCTCGATTTGTTTCAAGTTGATTTTGTTGGCCAAGTTTGATGGGTCCACGGAATGTTTTCCATTTCCTGATGAATCCTTACAAATATTTATTATTGTATTTTCGTGTTTATAATCAGCTGCTATATTTGGTATTTTGAAAAGCAGGAACTATTCATTTGCATAAATTTCGATGACATTTTGCTCTGATTATTCACATTGCATATGCTTTAAATTAAGCGCCTGAGAATTATAGTAGTAAATTTCTCACTAATTATTGTATATTACTATTTCCCCGCCATGGAGTGCTTATACAGAAAGTTTAAGATATTAGTAAATGATCATGGGACGTTTCCGGAGGTTTATCTAACGCGGAAGATGATTTTCGATTCATTTAATGTTTAGAAATTTCAGTCTAATAAAATATGAACTTCTTCTGTACCCTCCTCCAATATTATAAGGTCAAAGTCCCTAATATGCTGCACAAACCCATTCTGTGCTTTGAGCAAACGGCGAAAGAGGCAAATATCTCAGTTACCATACAGTCAAGCTGTAGCTATCAAAAGCGACTCATTGTGATGCAAACGCAGAGGAGTTATCCTTATATACTAGTTTATAGCTCTCTGTAACTTCTATAAGGAAAGCACAGTTGCAAAACACTGGAAAGGCAACAAAAAGACGATCGTTTGTTTTGTTCAGTAATAAGAACATCGAAAACGCTAAACTACTTCAACAGTGCCGTTAGGCAGGTAGTGTAGGTTTCTAAGGTCAAAACAAGTATTGTGGAAAAATTAGTTAACTAGAATTTAACTGTAAGAAGTACCTTAGAATCAAGTAGAATACTTCCAGCAAGGTGGAATCAAAAACTTTATCCATATGATTCAAACACCAATGCTTTCTGCAGATATTTCAAGGTTAGAATAATCTTGATTCACTCAAACAAAATCACACCGCAAAGCAACACATTACCAACCACAAAAAGAAGAACTAAATTAGAGATTGAATAAAGACAAAGACGAATGAGGATCAAATCAACATGTGATATGCAATCGTCAGAAAAATTGTACGCAGTCTAAGAGGAAAACAAGTAATAATAAGAGAGTTGGTTAGGACATGAAAATAAGTTTAAATGTTACGATTAAATTGTTCAGAAGGGATTCACAGGTAATTTGTTCGTTACACAAGCATTGTCTCGGTAATAGTGGAAGACAGTATATAATAGAAATAGGATCTAGTTTCCACGCTTGTTAGTTTATCTACAACACATCTATAGACTTAATAAGTGGCATCATATCATTTGTTCAGATCCACTTAACCTAGTATAGCAGGCAGCATGTCTTAGTGTTGGCTGTCAATAATAGTCTAAAATCAACTTAAAGTGTACCATAATGGTGATTCTCCTGATGTTGTGGTCGCACCAAAAACTGGTCCATAGCATTTGATCGGCATTGATCACTTGATAGTATGGCATACTACATGCCTCACTAGCCTACAAATGTATTATTAATGTACGAACAGAAACACGAGTAAAGTATTTTAGGATGTGAGAATAGCTGTCTTAGAGCTGCTTATTAATTCTCACTTCAGTAAGAAATGGTACTCTTCTACTGATTGACTTGAAGTCTGGCTAAATATCTTGTTACAAGACGTTCCTTCTACCACAGTTTTAGTGTATATTCGTGAAGCTAGTGAGTGTCAGACAAATCGGTCTATTGATGAATGCATAATATTTGATGTTTAACAAATTTATTCACCAAGTGAAACCTGAATGACCAAATCTTTGAATATCATGTTAAGCAATGCTGTTTGAGTCAATGTGAGACATTTTTCTTTTCAGAAATTCAAATATACTTATTTAACGACTCTCAGTAAACTCACTTTTGAAATTTTATGCTGGTTTTCAGACCATCTGAGGGATTTTAATACCATTGGAAAAGAATTTGCATACATATAAATATTTTAATGATATCCATTGTAACATGTTTTATTCTTTTACTTTCCCAGTGGAATAAACGGCTTCAAGCTAGGGCTCTGAATTTTCTGCAACAGTGGTGATTATTTTTACAGGATGGGGTTGCTGGCCTCATGCCTGACATTTCTTCTTCACCAGCTCTTTTATTACTGGCTTAGCGAGGTAAAGGGATACCTCGGTCGGGGATCGAACCGCATACCATGTGCATGGTAAGCTAGCGTCCGAACGTCTGTGGCACTGACCCACATTGTAACATTAAGAACACAATATTCAGCGAAAAGACTCTTATGATCAAGCTGTGCAGTCGTATATATATATATGGTTTTTTATATTGAGCAATTATGTCCCGTGAGGAAACTTAAAATCAGATGTGAATATATACAATAATGGTAGTATGAAATGCAGTTAAAATGTTTGTGATTATAATCATTTTCTATAGTTTGGTTTGTAAGGATTAGATTTGTTTTTATGGGTTTGACCACGGATTGATATCAGTTAGAGAACCATTGAGAAACAGGGAGTACTGGACAGCTGTTTCATCCTACTTTGTGAATCATTGGCAGTACGCACAGACTGGGGTTCGAACTCAGGACCTTCTGGTTACAAGGCAACCTCCTATACCATTCAGCCACTGGGACCCGATTCAGTGGCCAACCCATGAATTCTAACTTCTACCAATTCGTGATTTAGCGTGACCCCAACCATTGTCGTAGGTGGGACATCCATCCTCACACGTGACATCTGGATGGACCTCACTGGTGACGACTTCTCACTAGAACTCCGGGAAAATCCATCCTGTAGCAAGTCACTAGCGATCATCAACTCATAAAGCAAAACTAACCCTTACAAACGAAACTATAGAAAATTAATCTGATGCTCGCTAGTGACTTGCTACAGCACGGAGTTTTCTGGAGTTCTAGTGAGAAGTCGTGACCAGTGAGGTCCATCCAGATGTCACGTGTGAGGATGGATGTCCCACCTACGACAATGGTTGGGGTCACGCTAAATCACGAATTGGTAGAAGTTAGAATTCATGGGTTGGCCATTGAATCGGGTCCCAGTGGCTGAATGTTATACGAGGTTGCCTTGTAACCAGAAGGTCCTGAGTTCGAACCCCAGTAGGTGCGTACTGCCGATTATAATAATTGTTAAATACCAAGTGTCAAGTGGCGAAACAATTAATGTCATATATAGAATAACTCATAGGATGTACAGATTTTAGGAGTGTATGAATATAGCGTTAGTAGGCTAATATAAAGGGTTACACAACATGGTGTAAAATTTGATAAAATAGAATTTCTCTTTGTAAAAAATTTTCTGGATTTAGAATGACAAGTGAGATAAGTGGAAACTGTTCAATGTGAGAAAATTAATAATTATTATGACTGTATGTCTTCACATCAGTGGTTTTTATTCCCTAAGGGGATTTAATTTTTTATTATAAAAAACCATATATAAATGACTGTACAGCTTCATAATAAACTGGTTGAAAAGAGTCTCTTCACTATTGCATGAGTTACTGAAGGGTAATTGACTTTCCTTTTTATAGGTTTACTGCTTTTAGTTAGTTTTTTTAAGAAAATGCGTAGGCTTATATCCAGCAATATTGCGCAATAAATACAGTTGACCATTCTTATCATACAATGACGTTGTGAAGTGTTTTACACTTAGCAAAGCAGTGGCTTCAAAGTGGATTGAATTTACTGTCAATTACTTATTAGTCTCTAAATGTTTTTTGGAAATACTTGGAGCCTTCACTATTTACTTTCAAACCACAAGTTTCGTTAGGCTTATTAGAAGAAAACGTAAAACTAAATTAGTATATACAAATCATCGTTTGATAAGTGGTCTTAAGGAATATATTTAACACGAGAACAAAATTATACTTTTGTCAACTTACTTGAGTGTTTGTACCGACTTGAGAATGTTGGAGAAACAATGTTAAGAATATCGTTTTCACTCAAACTTCCTCTACTTTTATTACGTGGTGTGACTACTTTTCTTGGGCTTCCTACAAGAAAAGATGCATAGATAAAATGTTAGGGATGTAAGTACCTACTTACTTCACATTATAATATTGCCACACACTATGCTTGATTTTATCACATTAGTAATAATGTAAGTTGAAGCTATTTGGTTAATATATCTCAATTAGTCTTTCACGAAATTTGCTTATTCATATAATGCACTAATATCTGATAAGATATCATTATTTGAAGGGATTTTAATTTGTTCGACACGAGTCATTGGTCGAATACAGCATTATTTTTCTATGTAGAACCTGTAATATAACTATGTATTGAAGTATGATTGTGCCTTATTTACACGGTGGTGTTTTACATTTGCATTGTTTACTGATAACGTTATTCTCCCTATATATATATATATATATACTGAACTAAATGAACAGAACTGTGAGACCAAGTATCTGAATTCAAAGCTCATTTCTTTTATACAGAACCTTCCAATATATGAGAAATACTTATTATCTTCAAAATACACCCAGTAAGTAATTTCCAGAAATATAGGTTAGTTTAAGTTTCCAACGGCAGCTTCAAAGAATTGTTTACATACTGTTGAAAAAGAGGAATCACTTCATTACGTAAATGATTTTTTACTTAAGTAAAGTGCATCACTGGCACAGCGGTTAGGACACTCGCCGACCCTGGAAATGGTTCGAGGTTCGATCACCGCCCGACGCACTCCTTTACCTCGCTAAGTCAGTAACAAAAATGCTGGTAAAGAGGAAAGGTTGGGCATGAGGCTAGCAACCCCATCCTCTAAAAATCAATCACCACTGTTACAGAAACTTCAAGCCTCTAGCTTGAAGCCCTATGTTCCACTGGGAACGTGAAGGAAAAAAGCCTTCTGCCTATTTGGTCTAGGGATAGTCAAACCAAAAGTTGGAATTAGCTCATGAAATCTTTTCTAGTTAGTTTGAGCCAATTAAAGAGGTCTAGATCACTCGGTTGGCGTCCACAGGATTCTTAAAACCAATGTCTGGAGATAATTGGATAGGTGGTTCAAAACTTTCGTCTGCTGCACAGTTGCATTCACTCTTTATAATCTGCCATATTTATTGAAACCCCGTTGTTTTTCCATATTACTATTCTTTCTCTCCGACATTCCTGCTTATTATCGTTCTTTCGAATCATTTTTCTCTTTTGTATTCCTTGGTGTGCGAAGTGGATTGTGGCAACTCAGACTGTAGCATTCATATGCAAAGTTCTCTGTTGAAACCAGTCAATCAGTCAGTCATCAGCTGCTTATGAATGATTATCAAGACATCACTAAATCCTTATTTTGGACAATTAAACACAGTGGTGATCTAGAAGTGGATGCGCATCCTGGATTCCACTGCTAGTCGCCATCCTCCATTTAACTTCTGATAACTTGCCTGGACGTCATCAAAGCCGATAAGTCAACCTGAGACCGAGCACTTCAGTCCAATCAATCGACAGGAGAATCTGCAATTGAATTAAACTACAGTGACATGTTCAACAATTTTTTCCCCTTCAACTGACTAGCTTTATCTGTTTTACTTCGTTCACATCTTCGATGTTATCTACAACTATTGGTCAGTTTCTGTTGCGTTTTTCGAAGGGAAAACAATCTATCAAAACACATTAGAATAATTCACTTCACTATACAATTTCAAGTAAACACAGCAAATGAAGCGTCCCGTGAAAATATTCGTTAATCCAAACACTATTCAACGACTCCGTTAACGATGATAATATTATTGGTAACAATAAGAATAACTAGTTGCATCCAAAACAAGATAAAAAACGAATGTTGTGCTTGTACAAACTAAGTGGAGGGAAAAAAACACGTGATTTCAAGATACATGGATAATCCCCATCCAGGCATTAATGAAAACAAAACACGTAGATCAGCGAAGAGTCTCTTTTCGGTAAATTCATTTTCTTAGCTGTACAATCGCAAATATATATGCATTGTTTTGTATGTATGTGTACATTAAGTTTGTCAAACAAAGTTACAATTGGTTAAGGTTACTTTTAACTAAACAAGTGAAGGTTGGTAATACAGGTCAAGAAAATTAAGTGCTAATGAAACTAGGGTAGTAAAAAAATGATGAGTTGTCACAAACAGTTGTAATAATAATAGTGAGTTTTACTCAGGATGCACATAGAAACAAAGTAGATAATACGAAACTATGTAAGAGATCTAAGTGGATACAAGAATTATAATTGCTTAAGGTTATTTTAACTAAACAGGTAAAGGTTGGTAATATAAGTCAAGACCATTAAGTGCTAGGGTAGTAACAAAGGTGATGAGTTGTCACAAACAGTTGTTAAAAGAAGTTATGCAATAATAATATGAATAGTTTGATGAGTGAGTTTTACTCAGGATGCACATAGAAACAAAGTAGATAATACGAAACTATGTAAGAGATTTAAGTGAATACAAGAATTATAAGCAATTAAGGAACAGGCAAAGAAACAAAATTAAGTCATCAAAATAAAAATAAAAGCTCAAAACAAATCAAAACATTGTTACCATGAGAGTAGAAGTGGTTGAGTAATCTTCTTTTGTATGCACAGCTCCGGTTTTTCCATGTGAATGGCCAGAGCTTCAGCGATGCAAAGGAGACGAAACCGTATTGCCTTTGATATGTTATTCTTGACTCTGTAGATTACTTTGAAGGAGGCGTTCGTTGAAATGCAATGATCAGTGTTGACCAGGTGTTCAATTATCGCACTCCTTATTGCACCAGTATTGCCTTTTCGCAACCATGCTGGATAATGTTCTTGAATTCTCTTGGACAGGATGCGCGTCGAACGACCGATGTACCTGGCTCCACAGCAGCAGGTGAACTGGTATATGCACATAGAAGTGGCCAGATGCGGGATCTTGTCCTTGAGGCTTCTGCAGATCAGTGGGCGACTGGAGAACACTATTCGTAGCGTTGCTGCAAAGAACGTTCTTCTCAGAGATGATGTGATCCTTCTCTTGAGAATATCGCTTGCTAAATCTCCCTTGAAATCCAAATTCATGTAGATTTTCTTTTTAGGCGCAGTTAAAGTTTCGTTTTTCCGAATTATTGGTTTCATATTTTTGTCGATAAATCTTATTGGGTATCCATTTTGGATGAATATTTCTCTCAGAATATCTAATTCTGTTTCCAGAACGTCGGGACTACAGATGCGTCGGATGCGGGTAGCAAGTGATTTAATTAAGTTTCGCTTTTGTTGAATGGGCACCCAGCTATAGAAGCTTGTTAGTTGACCATTCCACGTAGGTTTTCTATGGATTGATCTTCTTAGGCTCCCATCAGCTCTTCTTGTCAGTTCCACATCAAGAAACGGAATTTTTGACTCGTTTTCCATTTCAAGAGTGAATTTTATTGCTGGATGGCAATTGTTAAATGTCTTCAGCAGCAGATTGGGGTCGTTGTTGTTGTCACAAATAATGAAAATGTCATCCACGTATCTTTTATACAGTCGCAAATTGTCGATGCTTGGCTTTAGTGAACCTCTCTCGAGGCTTGCCACGAAGCAATCTGATAGTAGTGGACCCAACGGAGATCCCATTGCAATACCATCCTTTTGTCTGTAGATGGTGTCGTTGAATGTGAACTGGACGTTCAGAGTGCATCTCAATAATAGTTCTTTCAAGTATGTTGTCGGTATTCCAATATCGAGGTGGTTGTCATCTATATATCTGCATATGAAGCAGACCGTTTCTGTGAGTGGGACATGTGCATCCTGAGTAAAACTCACTATTATTATTACAACTGTTTGTGACAACTCATCATTTTTTTTACTACCCTAGTTTCATTAGCACTTAATTTTCTTGACCTGTATTACCAACCTTCACTTGTTTAGTTAAAAGTAACCTTAACCAATTGTAACTTTGTTTGACAAACTTAATGTACACATACATACAAAACAATGCATATATATTTGCGATTGTACAGCTAAGAAAATGAATTTACCAGCGAAAAGAGACTCTTCGCTGATCTACGTGTTTTGTTTTCATTACAAGATACGAAAAAATATTGTCTGCCTATGACTTGTATTGAAATAATAATCAGTCAGGTAATTGGAAAAAAATCAATACATTGTACATTGAATTCATTCGGGAATAAACCAGTATGCATATAAAACCACTTATTCCGTAAGTGTAGTAAAATGCTGCAAAACCTAAATATATTATTATAAAAACAACTGCCATTGGACCGAAATGAAGTAGTTAGTTCTAATTAGTCAACATAATTAGATAATATTAATTAAATATTTCTAACAGAATTTACAAGTAGAATATTTGCTATTGAAATACACCTATGTGACAGTATTGAAAGGTAGAATTCAGCGAAATTAGTTACAGGATTTCATTGTAAGCTATTGTTGGTTAGAGAAGCAGTAGAAAAGCTGCAGGGAGTACTGGACATCTCTGTCATCCTAGTTTGAAACTCTCTAGCAGTACGCCCCCATTGCCAAGATCCCAACACTGTGCCTTTCGGTTACAAGGCAAGCTCGTAGACCATTAAGTTACCGGCAACCAATTCAATGGTTTACTAACTCTGACTTCCGCCAATTTATCACATACAGCAACCAATGAAATCCTGTAACCAATCAATCAAATCCCTATAAACCAATACTTGAATATCAGCAAAATTATTTGACTACTAATGGATCGATACAATGCATCGGTGAGTCAGAGATGGCATGCTTGTCAATCAGGCATTTAGTTCTGGGTTTGTTTCCCAGTCAGGACACACACCTTTACCTCCCCTGGCTGGTTGTAAGTCTGACAAAGTGGGAAGGTTGGGTGTGAGACTAGCAACCCTATCCCATAAAAAAATAAACTTTAGAGCTCAAGCTTGAAGTCTTATATCCCACTGGGAACGCAAAGATATAAAACTAAAACAAATAAATAGATACAGTTAACTACAGTGTAAACAAGTCATCTTTCAAAAAACGTATCTTAACAGAAGGTATGGATCCCACAGTAATTAAATTTACTGATTTATGGTCATATGACCACTAAATCATCGTCGTTTGGCTATTTGGAAAGGACTTTGGCAGCCTACAATTTTTGCCGAATTAAAGCATTTCTCCAGTAGTTTATATTTGACCTTTGGTATCTAACAGTGATTCCAAAAACACGAAGCCTAAGCCACAAAATCAAATGAAACTTATAAACACAAAGTTCAAGTCATGGTGATGATACGTTTGTACCTGGGTGATTATATCATAGAAGGCATCTTCTGTATTATTAAGTCATTAGAGTAAAGCAGGTCGGATCTGAGGACAAATACTCGCCGATGACATCCTCTGGTGGTGGCGCTTTGTCGTAAATTGGCGAAAGCTGGAATTCATAGGCCACTAGATTGGATCCCACTATCTTAATGATCTACGAGCTCGCCTTGTAACCGGAAAGCTCTGAGTGCGAACCCCTGTTGTGGGTGCGTACTTCTGGAGAGTCTCAGACTAGGACAAAACAGCTGTCCAGTACTCCCATGTTTTCTAGTGATTCTTTAACTAATGTCAGTCCATGATGAAATCCTGAAACCAACTAAATCGAATCCTCGCAAGCCAACATCTAAAAATCGCAATGTTTTGAAATATGTTGGTGAATACGGAAGTTTGCCATTTTACTCTTTTTTGAGCTTGTTTACTAACTCAGGAGTAAACATTCCTGGAAGTAAAATAACATTGATATTCTCAGTGCTAATTCAGTCAGCTGAATTTGAACTAAGCATCGATGGCCATCTTTTGTTAGTCTGAGTACTTCTTAAGTAGGATTGGAATAAACTCTTTCAAATACCCGACTACCATAAGGTTACTCATTCTATAATTTTCTTGGAAAACCCAAAGCATTATGTCGTTTAAGGTAAATAATTGATATCTTCTGTATACTGAGTACTTATTATTACTATATCTTTTATTCCTAGAGGAACATAGGGCTTCAGCTGCGCGTCTCCATTACCTTCGGTTTTTTGCCAACTTTTTCACCCCACTCCAAGTCTGCCCACATGCTTTCATCTCCTCTTCACATGACCTCCTCCAAGTCACCCTCACAATGACGACTAACTCGCCGCTTTCCTTTCGAGTTCCACTAGACCGATGGCTTGTCTAGTGATGTCCCTTGATGGTTTCCTCAGCATATGGTCAATCCACCTCCATTTCTTCCAGTCTGTTTGTTTCACAGTCGGTTCCTGCTGGGTTGGTTAACTCCCAGAAATCCCTGTTGCTGATCTTTTCTGGCCAGTCATTTGATTTTGAGTATTGAGCGGAGACAACTGTCAATGAAGGTCTGTAGTTTGTTTGGGATGTTCTTTATGGTGCGCTGGCCAGGTCTCTGATCCGTACAGTGAGTAGCACTGACTTCACATTGGAGTTGAAAATCTGGACCTCATTTTTCATGCTGAGTGAGTGCTGTTGACCTCCACACAGACTTGAGAGTAATGAAAGCTTATCTTGCTTTTCCGATCCTTGCTTTGATATCTTCATCAGTTCCGTCTGCCTGTAGTTGAAACGATGCTTCCCAGGTAGGTAAAGGAGTTTGTTTCTTAGTGTTATAATATTATGGTAAGCTTATCAATATGAAATTCTTAGTTTTACAATAAGTAAACTGAAGATTGTAAATTATTCAAGTCGTCAAACTGCGGTTGATTTTTAGCTAAATCACCCTTAAAGTCTACTAAATTCCGCAAACTTGATAGATCCATTTCGGTTCGGCAGTCATTATTAACAAATGTTCATATGAATTTCTTTAAGTTTCAGCACTAAATAATGAGACTCATTATTTCATCTTTAAACAAAGACTACACCTGACCTCAGTGGGTTATGATTGCAATGTATCACGAGCTGCTGGGATCTAAAGATCATGGGCCATTATGTTATGAACTCAGTGGCAGGAATTGAACCTTGGGAGATATCTCCAATATGGATAAGATTTTATTTTGATAAATCACACAGTGCTGTACAGTAATATTAATTGATGATGTTTCGAGCACAAACTATTGATATGATTATGAGCAATAGTTTGTGCTCGGAAAGTCATCAGTTAATATTACTGTGTAACACTGTGTGATTTATCAAAATAAAATTTTATCTATAATGGAGTTATGCTCTACCACAGTACCCAAATTTTACACTAATATCAGTTGGGGATATCTATTAAATTTTATTATTGCAATATTCCCTTCTTTAATATGCCTTCATTAGTCAGTAAAATACTCAAGTGTAATCTGTTATTAGACAAGTAAAGAAATGCGATTAATGGATAAGCTAAAATTCAGTGTTATGACAGTTTATGCTGTCCACTTTACAACTGATTTGAAATTGGTTTGTAGCCTGTTGTAATCTACTCTACACTACCTCTAAGAGTGGAAGCGTAGTGTTTTATCTTGCTTTCCTCTATTCACAAGATTATCATTTTCCTGAATAATGATAGTGATACAGCTGATTTTATCTGCATCGTTAAACCTGAAGTCTTATTTGTCATTGATAATTAAGAGATAATTAAATGAAACTTTATACTTGGTCAGCTCATTTGAAGAGAGTTGTAATTAGTTTATATAAAAACACCGAGAAACATGTAAATTTCACCGATTGGTTTAGCAAATCAGTTGAATTTATAGATTCAACATGATATCTGGGGCAGCAGAAGTGGATAATGCTGTTTGAAATAACACTGGTGGAATTGTTAACAGACTACCATCTCTGTATGGAAAATAGTACAAAGTTACGAATTATAAAACTACTAAAACAAGGATATAACTCAGTTGATAAATAAGCAGGGTAACAAACCTTGAATTTGCAAGCATACAGAAACTCTGTCTTCAATACGTGCTGATTCCAAATCTTGTGGATCTATGCTATTTAAATTTAATCTTGTAGAAACAGAACAAGACTGTCTCAAAGCATTCGCAGATTTAATAATAAGATAGTTATTTGTACTGAGACTATTAACAATTCCAGTATAAGAGGAGATATTGGATGCTTTAGTCGACTGTGGTTTACTTTTCGTCTTGTACTTAGTACTATTCGATACATCTGTAGATAAAAGTGGAAAATTGTTAGACAGAAAATAACTCAGAATCTACGAATAGTATTAATCTGTTCAACAGCAGATTTTAACAATATGAGTGAATGAATATCTTGAAACTTTAAATTATGTCTAAAAGAGTACTTTGTTGCCACTTAATCGGTGTTATAGTTGTGTTGAAAATATTCTGAGTTAATCAAATATGTAAATCCATGAAGATATGAGGAATAGCAATGCCGCCGTAACTAAAGAGTAATACACGCTGACAATTTCTGAATTCTTTACATTTATGGGGTTGAACCAAGAATCAAAGTTGAGGCATGATTCAAAATTGCAGCCTCTGAATTACCATTCTGTTCTACTACCAGATGAGTAACAAAACCCAGCTGCCAGTCAGGATGTCGTTTTATTGAAGTTACCTGCTATCAAGTGAATGAATGATAAAATTCAATCCTTCTATCATCACAGTAGCCCCTACACTATGTATTCTTTTGTCAGTGCTCTCAGTAATACTTAACTAGGGTACAGTAGGCTGTTGGTGGTGGTACTCTGGTGATAGCTGTCTGCAAGACAAAATTGTAGACAACACTCGACGTCAACGTTCACGTCCCAAATCGGGGTCATGAGAAAAAACGAGAACAAAGCCTAATCTTGAGGGACTCAACAACCAATCACAACAGACTTAGCGTGGATGGATACCATTCGCAGATATATCACCGGACTGTCTAAGAAACGGCAACAAAGAGATGGCAGAATAACCTTCAGCAAGAAAATAACTAATCAGAAGATGTCGCCTCTCTTTTAACAATAACGATTAATAATGTACATAAAAATCTATAAATACCTCTTGATTTTCTCAGTAAACGATATGTTGCCTGACTCTTGTCTTCTTTATTACAGTACTATCTGTAATGGATAGCCGAAATCGAAATTGTCATTCTACTTCGAATCATCATCCATTACATGAAAAACCATCTGTTAACCCAAAGGCATCTTGAATAGTCTCACTATCAATTGTTCGCATGTCTAATTAGTCCTCTATAGCTGAACTGAAATCTCACTGCTCAATTAATAGGTTTGACTGAAAGCCTCATTAGGAAGCCACTTTAGTTTATTATTTGAAGAAACAATACACTGTTAAAAATATACTGTAGAGCTAGAATATCAACAGAATTTATGCATTCGTCTATACGCTACTACCAATCTATATGAGTATGCTAAGTAAAAATGACAACTTTGGGTGGAAATATTTGTCCACAAATCGATTGAGACCTTTTAATGTATGTATGTATGACTACACGGCCAACAGATCAAACTATCTCTTATTATACAGTGCTGTCTTGGTGACGCATAAGAAATTGTAGGTTACATATTCAGCTTTCTTGTAGTGATAAATTTCGACAGTGAGTCAAGCTGATCAAAATTTCTTAAGTGAATTTGAAACTATGTAGACAGTTTCAGTGAAATAATTCATTCGTATGAAAGTTTGTAGAGTTTACAATAATTATAGCATCATTCGTTTCTTTAAAGCTTACCATTATTGGAAAGGTCCGGGGTATTTCTCTTTTTATAATGTGAAGAATTTGAAATTTCTCGTTTAATCTTACTGCACATTGTTTGTACTGAATTAAAACGGTGAATTATTCATGAACACTTACACAGCTAATTGAGATCCAACCAGGTAACTATGTAGATCTGCTGGATTTATTGACAACTGTTTTATTAAACTACAAAACAAAAAAGTGGGAATTTACATGCTGGAAATAAAATGTTTGTTAACAAATAGGATCAAACGAAGCATGATTGAATGTTTTCCGTCAGCCGAATTTACTTGCAGTCTTTGACGTGATACTGGATGAAATCGGCGTGCACCCACCCACATAACAAGTTTATTTGAACTGGAGGACAGATATTGAGTAAAAAGGCTAAATAATGAGTACGAGGACGAAATAAGGAATTGTAATGGTATATCCAACTAATTTTAATGTTTGGCGGGAAGTTACTTAGCAAAGTCGTTCTAGTAACGTGGGCTTTTTAGTAAACAACCAAAGTAGGTTTTTTGTTTTTACAATTTCATACTTATCTTTTCTTGACTTTATTCTTTTATGTTCCTAACGGAACATAGGGCTTCAACCTGTAGCTCTGAATTCTCAGTAGCAGTAGTGTTTGGTCCTACGGGGTGAGGTTGCTATCCTTATGCCCAACCTTACGTCTTTACCGATCTTATTTCCGGCCTAGCAAGGTAAAGAGGATTGAAGTCCGGATCACATGCGCGGTTGGCGAGCATTCTACCGACAAACCACTGAGGAACATTTTCGGCTTTGCTGCCAGGATACGAACTTTGGTGAGTTATTATTTCATAGTTAGCCGTAATCTTGAAATATTTTCTGTTCAGGCTAGCAGTCATGACCGACGTGCATGTGTCGCTGAGTGCCCGATCTAAACCCAGGTTAGTCACTTATCTAGTTAAGGTAGTTATCAATCCCTGCACGAAACAAAAGTTCTTAATTTAATCATTTACACACACACACAGTTCTTTTACTTGACAGATAGTTTAATTTCAGGGTAACACTTCGTCGGTAAATTACCTCTCAGTTAATGACTTATGAACGGGCTCTGAAAACATGTGACAATCGAACACATTTGAACTATACTGCTTCAAATTCGTCGTCTGTTCCCATGCCATACGATCATTTCTTAGTCGACTTCTTAGATAGCTGAAAATAAAAATACAAATACATATATATGTGTAGAATTGTAACCTTCCGATAGAATATAACTTCATATTCAATGGGTTTATCTGACAATGAAACAGTGTTGAAAATTGGATGACATTTCGAGTACAATTTGTTGGTCATCATCATATCAGTGTACTCACATGGCCTCGTAACTTGCTTCATATAGATTTTCAATCCTCTATGTTATTTATTGCTATTCTTTATGCTCCTCGTGTAGGTGTTTCGTAATTTTGATCGCACGTGTTTGGTGTTGATTCGATGAACAAAGATTTGGCCAAATCTCTGTTCATCGAATCAACAAATACGTGCAGCCGGAATGGCGAAATGCCTTCACCACATGTATGAAAACTGTAATCAGTAATATAGGGGAGAGAATATATGTACTCACATATAAAGTGTCATGAAAACATTAGTATGATTATGGGCGATAAACTGTGGTCAAAATGTCATCCACTTATTAATACTGTATTGCTTTACGTTCTGAGTGAAACATAGGGCTTCAAGCTACAGCTTTGAAGTTTCGGTAGCAGTGGTGTTTATTTTTACGGAATGGGTTGCTAGCCTTATGCCTAACCTCCCCTCTTTAGCAGCCTTACTTCCAGCTTAGGGAGGTAAAGGAGTGCGTCTGTGGCCGGAGATCAAACGCCGGACCACATGAGGCATAGTCAGTGAGCGTTCTACCACTATGCCACTGACGCCTGTATCACTATGTATTGTATCACATAAACTTATCTAAAATAACAAACATAAATATAAATAGCCCTCACAAAATTCACAACATGAACAGTTCTTTCCAAATATCTGAAGTAGACATCCGAAAGGTACCTGAAGCTTTTTGAGTAATATGTTATTGTTGTCCCTCACCCAGGTTCTGTAGCAGAACACTTAGGTAGGAATTACGGAGTAGCTTTGCTGTAGACATAAGTAGAACGAGATTTTAGAAGGTATCTCCAGGTACCACAACTGCAATAATGATATGGATTCACTAAGTGTACCATTCCAGTTCCCAGCCGATAACTGCTACCTTGTCGTGGTGGTCGGGCTTGAATACCGCAATGACCCAACAAGCTGAACTGACTGGGACTCTGTCTCTACAGGTCCTACCATGTCAGGAAGGTTTTCTGGATAGCGGTTAAACTAAAAGCAGTTACCATGGGGTACATGGGCTCCAGTTTCCAATCGGATCGAATGGCGTATGAACCCATATGGGTCACCGGCAACCATGGGAATGCAGCTCCTGACGCTGCTCCGCCGGCTTGCGGATTAGACTCCAAGTCAAAGGCTCGGGGGTGGTCCCTTAATAAAACCACCTGCTTCGGTCTGGGCGCCCGGGCAGTATCTCAGCCCGCACACAATGAATGAATTAAAGCAACGAACTCCATTGAAACTCAACGCGCGTAGTAAAAATGATTCCAAGCAATAATGATCCCTCAAGCAACTTATTTCCTTCCTACCTTACTTTTATTTTTATACATAGTTTCCTGTATTTTACCTTTGCTAACCTTGGCTTCTTAACCTTCGACAGCCTTTCGCCTTTGTCGAGATTCCCAGCCTATCCGTGTCGTTTCGAGATGTTAGTGAGTAGTCCTCAAAATGGTTGTTCCCAATGTGACATCTAACACAGATATCCTGAAACCGCGTGCTGCGTTCAAGCTGGCTACCTACAATGTTCGGACGCTGATGCAAATCGGACAACAGGCAGGGTTGGCAAGAACTTTGGAAAGCCTCGCTATCGATGTCTGCTGCATTTCGGAGACCCGCATTCAAGATCCCAGTGAAGTGCTTCGACTATCCTCTCCATCTGGAAGTTCTAGTAGTATGTACCACCTGCGCTTATCCGGGGACCCTGTGGCGTCGGCATCCGGCGTAGCTGGTGTCGGTGTCGCACTGAGCGCTAGAGCCGAAGCTGCACTGCTCGACTGGATTCCCATTAACAGTCGTTTATGTGCTGTGAGGCTGGAAGGTTATACGAAAGTAAGGAGTAGTAGGCCAGATAGGCGGTGTCTATTTGTTGTCTCTGCCTATGCACCGACGGATTGCAGCCCGGATGCAATGAAGGATGAGTTTTACTACCAACTGAGCGATCTCTTGAAACAGGCGGGTCGGAGGGATATCGTAGTGCTGGCTGGGGACTTGAATGCACAGGTCGGGCGTCTAAGCTCAGAGGAGAATCGTCTAGGTGGTCAGTGGGGACTACATGGTCGCAGGTCAGATAATGGGGACCGTCTTCTGCAGCTTTGCGCGGATCACAACCTATTTCTAGCTAGCACCAACTTCCGGCACAGCCATCGCCGTAGCGCTACCTGGCGTCCTCCCTCTGCGAAGCAAGCTTGGACTCAGATTGATCATATCGCGGTCAGTTTCCGGTGGCGAGGATGCATACAAGACTGTCGCTCCTTCTGGAGCACATGCCTGGACTCCGATCATGCGTTAGTGTGTGCCAAGTTCGTCTTGCGATTTGGTGGGGTTCGTAAAAGCCGTCGTCTAAGCGTTGATGTGAGCAAACTAGTAGCACCTGCTACTTCTTTGAAATATCAGAATGAGTTAAAAACAATGCTTGCCAGCAACCCCCCAAGTAGTATAGATGAACATTGGCTTCATGTGCAAGGTGCCATGCAAAAGGCGAGTGTAGCCGCTTGCGGCTTGAAAGAATGCTCCGCTAACAACCACTGGGTTTCTGCGAGTTCCTTGCAACTCATGGATGAACGCCGGTCCATTCCGGCTGGCAGCGAATACAACAATCAGCGAAAGGCGCTCACGCGCAAGATTAGACAGTGTTTACGTAAGGACCGCGAAGCCTGGTGGTCAGAACGTGCGTGTGAGATGGAGTCAGCTGCTGCATCTGGCAACAGTCGGAAGCTGTTCCAACTCATACGAGCCACCGGCAGCAAGAAACAAGGTGTCAGCGAGACGGTCTGTGAGGCAGATGGCACTCCAATTACCAGCCTGAAAAGACGCCTGGAACGCTGGGCAGAGCACTTCGGGAAGCAGTTCAGCTGGCCACCAGCTTCAGTGTCTACTATCATTAGCCCGAGTGCTCCTTGGTCGGTTAGTACCGACCCACCCACCGAAGCGGAGGTCCGTAAGGAACTCCAAGTTCTGAAACGCCATAAGGCGCCCGGCCCAGACAAATTACCCCCGGCTCTTTTTAAAGATGGTGGCGAGACTCTCACAATGGCTCTAACTGGGTTGTTCAGGAAGGTGTGGGAGACAGAGAGTGTACCATCAATGTGGAACGAAGCCATTATCGTCCCCATCTTTAAAAAGGGTCGACGTAATTCGTGTGACAATCATAGGGGTATCAGTCTGTTACCAGTCGCGTCTAAAATATTGGCTGCTGTCTTGCTTCGCAGACTGTGCAAAATACGTGAAGGATTGATTCGCGAAGAGCAGGCTGGGTTTCGTTCAGGTCGTGGATGCATTGATCATGTGTTCACCCTTCGTCAGTTGTTGGAACACCGCCACACGTATTGCAGGCCAACGATCGTTGTGTTTCTTGATATTAGGGCTGCCTTCGATTCGTTGGACAGAACTGTGCTCTGGAACTGTCTGTTAGAGAGAGGTGTACCTGAGAAATTTGTTAACATCTGAAAGCCCTATACAGAAACACCTCAGGTAGAGTGAGGGCATACAACCAACTATCACCACTGTTCCCAACCAACAGTGGGGTTAGACAGGGTTGCCCAATCTCTCCATTTCTCTTTAACTTTGCCATCGATGACATTCTGGAGTCAGCTCTGAAGGATGTGCGTGAAGGTGGTGTAGATCTGCTACCTGGAGATAGACTTTTCGACCTCGAGTATGCAGACGATATCGTCTTACTGTGCGATAGCATGCAGGCTGCCCAAATCGCACTTAATCAGTTGGCGATCAGTGTCTGTAAGTATGGTATGTGCTTTGCGCCGTCTAAGTGCAAAGTACTGTTACAAGATTGGCAGGAGCCTGTACCTGCACTCACTCTTGCGGGTGAACCGCTTGAAGTTGTTGATAAGTTTGTGTACCTGGGTAGTTGTGTGAGTGCTGGCGGAGGGGTGACGGATGAGATTTCCAACCGTATAATGAAGGCTAGGGTGGCATACATCAACTTGAGCCACCTCTGGCGCCGTCGCGACGTTAGCCTGGCTGTCAAAGGTCGGGTATACAATGCTTCGGTGCGGGCTGCGTGCTCTACGCCTGTGAAACCTGGCCTCTCCGAGCTGAGGATGTGCGGCGACTCTGCGTGTTCGATCACCGCTGTCTCCGCAGGATTGCTTGCGTTCGATGGCATCATCGCGTGAGTAATTCTGAGGTTCGGCGGCGTGTGTTTGAACCAGTGGAGATCACCATTCATTGAATGTCGTCATCTGGAAACACCGGCTCCGGTGGCTTGGACATGTGCTGCGAATGTCACCCCAGAGGCTTCCGTACAGGTCTCTGTTCGCTAGCCCTGGGACGGGATGGAAAAGGCGGAGAGGTGGTCAGTCCATGACGTGGCGTCGTGGGATGAAGGATTTTTGTGCTAGATTAGCATCGGTTGGTGTGTCACGACTCCCTGGTTGGGGTCCGAGAGATAGCTCAAATCGATGGCTCGAAACGTTATCGGATATGGCCAAGAATCGTAATCAATGGCGAATGTGTTGCATTTCCTTCTTTCTTCCCTTCCCGATGATAGTTAACGAACACTGTTTGAACTTGTTAAGCATGACTGTTTTCCTTCCAGATGAAGTTCTTTATCCGTTCTCTACTTATATATATATATTCTTTTCCTTCCTTTTTTTTTTTTGATCTATGTTGTTTTATTATTATTGTGTGGCGCATCCTTCTTGGTACCATATTGTACCAAGTTTTTTATGTGTTTAAATAAATAAATTCCAGTTGCTGTGGTTCATAATTCTAACAAATGTCTAATTCCCAACTAAAAATGTCTAGACAACTAGGAGTTCATTAAGAAACATTTCGTATTAACCTGCTTTTTGTTATCGGAAGAAGGCACATACATATTCCACGTAAAACTATAATGCAGTGTAAACCGATATAGTGCTGGTAGGTCAGTGAATGAAAGTTGCTCATTCAGTCACTAAGGGTTCAAGAATTCACAATGAGCCCTCACTGAGAGATACCAGTGATATAAAAATACATATTTCATGAATTTCCTAGTCCTTAAACACTTTGAACAGCATTGCGTCACTAGGCATATAATAGTGTTATCTCAAATGGCAGTTAAATGCTAACTAGAATTTGAATATTTCCACAGTTAAGCTATGCATACGAATATCATTTACGCATTTTGAATGTTTTCTAAACAGGAACTGAGCTTTGGATAGTCCATATTCGCGATATTATCTTCATATTGTGAAGAAACAATTTACCTGTTGACAACATACTTCATCAATATTTGGTACCATAATAATGCAGAGAAAATATGGCGCATAAATCACTATTAGCTTTCATTTTGCAAGGTTACTGTACGTCTTTATGGTGAAAGCGAAGCGATACAGACAGAAGCTGACAGCTTAGAACGATTACCTTATTACGTTTAGAATTTTCAAAATGTTCTATACTTTTTCCATGTAGTTCAAATCGGTCTGTATTTAAATGTATTTTGTTCTTCTTATTAGGAATATTATTATTCATTCTAAGTATATCTTGTCAGTGCAAATTCAGCATTCTGTATTCGATGATAACTGGGTAGCTTCTTGAATAAAACATTTCAAAGTATGTCACTGTTAGGCTTTTAGTCAACCACAAGTAATCCGAAGTCATCGAAGATAAACCAAACGTAGTCTTACAACTATCTTTATTATTTTTTTGCAACATTCACAATTTTCAGAAGTATGTGACAACTATATCGTACCATTTTATCATACTGCCTTTATTGTTTTACAAAGTAACATTTTAGGAATATAATCACAATGTATGACTTACGAAGAGCGTGTTTGTCTACCTAAAGGCGATTCACACTTCGTTGAATGAAGATATATCTTTCTGGGTTCTGGTCGATAATACTTTCGTACTGCTGGAACGCTCATACACATTTAAAACAATTTCTTTGGTTAGTTATAAAGAAAATTTTGTGTCATGTAGGTTCCTATTGATAAATGAATGAATGTAGATACACATATATAAAAAGCTGTATTTCAAATATGATTTATTAGAGGTGTGCAAATCAAGTCGGGAAATCGTGTGAATACAGTAGTATGATTATGTATAGTCAGTTTCGCCGTAAACAATCTTCACTGATTAACACACAGTATCACTGATTTATTATGGAATCACTTTATTTCATATGCTTACGTCCTCCAAGCTGGGTGGTATAATTGCAAAACTTTCAAGTGTTGGTTTGTAGGGATTTGATTGATTGGTTACAGGATTTTATCTAGATCTGACATCAGTTAGAGGACAATTGGAAAACCACCTGGGAGTACTGAACAGCTGTTTTGTCCTAGTTCGGGACTCTTCATCTTTACGCTTCCACCGGGAGTCGAACACAGGACCTTCTGGTTACAAGGCCAGCAAGCTCGTAGGCCATTAAGTTACTGGGACCCGATCCAATGCCCCATGAATTCTAACTTCTGAACGTCCTGGGTTCGAATTCCGGTGAGTGCGTACTGCTGAACAGTCCCAAACTAGGACGAAACAGATGTCCAGTACTCCCAGGCTTTCCAATGGTTCTCTAACTGATGTCAGCTCATGATGAAATCCTGCAAAACTTTCATTTTTCTTCTAGATAACATCTTCAGTATGAAGCAAACTTGGATTCTTCACGAAAGATATAAATATATCTCATGACGACTTTTGCCAAGGTAGGTGTTTTTCAATCACAGAAGTTGGTATCTAGGTCTTTTCATAGATGAATAATCATTTTGTAAATTACCCGATTATTTCATTGCAAAATTAATACAAACAGGTAGCTACCGAAATGAATAGTGTTAGTAGAATCAGATTACCCGGAAGTTATTTTACTACTATTCTATGATAATAGGCTTTTGTCTGGAGCAGCGTTCCTATGGTTTCCGGCGACCAAAACGGATTCTGGAGTCCATGTGCACTAATAATTTGAAATCAGAGTTTTTCCCACCGGTCAACTGAGGATTATTTATCACTGCACTCGATGTTGGTACAATGATGTAGTGAATAAGACAATTATTATTATTATTATATGACTGATGTTCACCTAATTACTGAGTTAAATATTAGTCTATTGAAAGTGATTGGTTATCATCAGTTATTTATTCAGATTTCATTCTGATTGAGCAATATTGTGGTAAAATATTGTTTGAGTATCATGCACAAGCTGATGCACACATACATATACATACAAAACATGCAATACCCGTTTAGTTGAAGGTTTTGAAATAGAGTTGTTATTTAATTGAATTTGAGATTTTCCCATCGATTGATTGAATCGAAGTGCTCGGTCTCAGGTTGACATGTCGGCTTCTTGTGCAGATGCTTCGGCGATGTCTGGGCATTTAATTAATATTTAATTGGATGATGGTTACCAGCAGTGGAATCCAGGATCCCCGCATTTCACCCTATCTGGGACTATTTAGCTGGATGTAACTGCATTTCTCAGTGAGTGGTGATGTTCCCACCAAGGCTCGAACCCAGTGATCATAGTTTTGAAATGCCAAAGCGTTATCCACTAGACCACTTGGGCCACGGGAGCCACCTATTGTGCAACGGAGTTGTTATTATTACTTGTACACTATGAGTGAGTATATTTTTCACTCATATCATAAGTCTCTCGTCTAAGTCTATACTGAACGTTAAAAGTGTTCACATTTTCTTTGCGTAACTTGGATAATCACTTTTTCAATTGATTCACCTGACAAATTACTTACAAACTTGTCATTGGTGTCGGTCAAAAATGATTCAGGAGAATAATATAAACATCTTTGTGGCATCTGATGATCATGTCTGATAGATAATGGATAAACTGACAGGACGTTTACCAATTTTTTTTTACTTCACGTTCCCAGTGGAACATAGGGCCTCAACCTAGTGGCTCGAAGTTTCTGTAGTAGTGTTTAATTTTTACAGGATGGGGATGCTAGCCTCATGCCCAACCTTTCCTCTTCACCAGCATTATTTCTGGCTTAGCGAGGTAAAGGAGTGCGTCTGTGGCTGGGGATCGAACCCCAGACCATGTGCATGGTCGGCGAGCGTCCTAACCACTATGCCACTGACGCAAACTCTTACCAATGCTTCTGACTAATTCACACAATACATTCCTGATTCTTTTAATGAAGATAGTAGTTGTGATACATGAACTGTTTCGTATTTGTTAGTTAAATGAATATTTTCACTTTATCTTTAAAAATGTTTACATTAATAAATAGTCTTTTCTTTATGTCCAATAAAAAGTTCGCTGAAACTATAAATTCTATGAATTACTACTTAGTTTTATGGGAAAATAAAAAGTATACCGAACAAGTTTTCATCAGTCGGTAAGCTCATGCAGAGATTAATAGCACACAACCGCATGAGAATCTTAATGGAACCCAAGAAAGATTACTAACAAATTTTAAATAAAAAACCACAGAGAATATCGTCATATGCTTAAACATCCGTTAATTACTTCAAGCGTGGTACTTGCGAACTAACCGACAAGTTTCACAAAGCTACACTATTTCACTAAGCAATTTCTGCAAAGTAGTTTGATATAGGTATCTATTGTATCCACTTAACCACTATTCTTTAGTGTATTTAAGAAAATTAAGTAATCACTTATTGTATCACTCCGAACAATTAATTTTGGTAGTAAATATTTCGGAGATATTTTTGTGAATAAAGTGAAACTTTCAAGTGTTGGGTTGTAGGGATTTGAGTGGTTACAGGATTTCATCATGAGCCGACATCAGTTATAGAACCATTGAAAAACCTGGGAGTACTGGACAGCTGTTTTATCCTAGTTTGGGACTCCTCATCAGTGCGCACCCACCGGGTTTGAACACAGGACCTTCTGGTTACAAGGCCAGCGAGCTCGTAGACCATTAAGCCACTGGGACACGATCCAATGGCCAGCTCATGAATTCTAACTTCTGCCAATTCACAACATAGCGCGACCCTTAGCCAATGTCTTCAGCGATGATTTGTCCTCATACCCGACCTGAAACCATATTTTCGACCAAAATAATATATACCTGATTAAAACTGTATGCTTGTAAGAATCTAGGGAAACTACAAAAGCTTTATGCTAGGAAGTAAAGTTTGCTCAGCTTGCCTAGGAATAAAACAGATAACATCTTTTCTAATCGTGGAAAATACTTATTGGAACATTAGATTGAAAAGAACAAGAACAAGGGGTAGACCTGCTTTGGGTACCTTTGGTAGACCACAGAGTCTAGGGATAATGGATCCTGTTGGTCTCAGACGTTCAATGCAGGTCTTATCAAAACGTGTTAGAGGACATCATCCGACATTGCTGCAAACAGGAGGCACTGGTTCAATCAGAAGGGCAATAATTGAACATCTCGTCAACACCTGTCACAGTATCTCAACCGACTCATCATTTAAAGTCAATTACATAGTAGACAAAAATCTACGAAAGGCAGTGTGTTTCAGACTTCTTTGTACTGCGGAAGCTCTCGCCGTATGCATCGATAAGCCGAAGCTATGTGTTCAAAAGAAAATAGTCCAGCCTTTACAACTACCATGGACCTAGTTCGGTATGTCCCTTATCCTTCAGCTTTTTGCTTTGTTATCTGTGTGTGTGTGTGTAATTTTCTCTCTTTGTTTTCATTCGGTTCATCCTATTTTTTCAGTTATAAAATCAGTTATTTTAAGTTTGTGTCTATGCTCCTCCTGATCACACATGTAATCCATTTAGAATAACCATTTTACAGTTATATTGTATTCCTGTGTAATTTTTTTGTTCTGTTCCTCTTGTAATATATATTTACACCTCCTAACTTACATTTTAAGTTGAAAATTTTGATTTCACTTTGTTTCCATGCTCATTTTGTTCACACCTGTAGTTCGTTCTATCCCTGCGTCTCTCTAAGCCTCTTGTAATTCATATCAAGTTGAGAATAATTATCACCTTTTATTCGCCTTTAAATTTATCTCTCCAGTTATCAAATATTAATTTTGCACACGTAACTGTTTTCTAATCAGTCCTATGGAATCTTGTCTTTAATCCCCTTTTAATCTGTATTCGTACCTAAAAACTTTCATATCTAGTTGGAAATTATTATCACCTTCGTTACTATGTGGAATTAAACAAATAATAATTGCATCGATGTAAAATAATCTATATAAATACGATTGTACAGCTTTTGAGAATGAAATCGCCGAAAAGATCGCCATCTTTGCTGAACTTCTTGTTCTTTTCAAAAATAACATCTTCGCAGACATAAAATAATTGATCAGATAAGGATATTGCACAACTTAAGTGATAAATTTTTATCTTTTACAAAGTTGTAAATTTCAGATACAAAGGTTTTCCTTTGTACACTGCCATACCTTATGGAGTCATTAGAAACTGTCAAAAGTATACCATTTATTTCCTTCTAGAAGCATGTTATGAGTGGATCATATTGCAGTTCTACGCATCGTGATCAAACGAAGAATAGAAGAGAAGTCAAACCTCTATCTAAGTTTCATCGACTTTTAAAAGTCCTTCCACAGTTCTGTCTGAGAAGTAATTTGGGAACTGCTTCAATACTCTGGGATGCAATGCCCCAAATCTTCGTCACATGTCAAGTGATCCACAGTGGACCACTCAGTGAGACGTCCGAAGTGAAGAAAAGAGTAAAACAAGATGGAGTACTATCACGGATGAGACTCCAAATTGTGTTGGGCTGGATTATAACTCAGACTGTGGAAAGCTAGAGAACAGCAATATATTGAACCGGTAAAAGGATTCTAGAATTTCTAGATTTCACCAACGATCTAAGTCTAGTGACAGTAAAACCAAGAAAACCAACAAATTGGGAGAGGAGGCGAGCAAAGATAGGAAATCATGTGAACATAGAGAAGACAGAGGTTATGAAGATAACCAACTAACAACAACCAACACCAATCACCATCAACGGAGCATCGCTTCGAATATACGTTTCACAGATAAGCATATCAAAACCAGGG